GGATAAGAAAGATTTTCTCATTCAAGGATGAGACATTCTCAAGATTATAAAAATGAGGTTAATATTAAGCAGAATATCTTAATTAAAAACTGATATTAAAATAGGTAATATACCACTTAAATTTGGTGTTTAAAAAGAAAATAGCAATTTTAAAATAAATTATGCCAATGGATTAGGCTGGGGGCATGGCTCAAGTTGTAGAAAGCTTATCTAGGAAGCGTGAGGCTCTGAATTCAACTTCCAGCACAGCCCTCCCCAAGATTATTCACACATTTTAATGCATTTAGACAATAACTGTGCAAACCTTAGTATAATACTCTGTATCTTCATTTATAAAATTAAGATATAATTAATAACATAAGAAGTTTTAAGAAAGTGTTCTTTAGACATCATTATAATTATCACACACAAATACATATTAAACAAAAGACAAATTTCATCAAATATATTTATGGCAACCATACTTGTTTTGAGATTCTTACTGTAATCAAAGTATCTTGCTTGAACCTCCATTTCCAGGTCCCCCTAAATTCATTATTCTCTACCATAATATCCTAGAGGGTTTTCTTCAGAGCAGTTATCACTATCCGAGTTTTTTTCTTATGTATTTATTTACTTGCTTGTGTCTATCTCTTCCACTAAATCACAGGTCTTAAGAGAATGACTGCTTCAGTCATCATGCATTCCTAGCATATAGGATGGCGCCTGGGAGACAACTTGTGAAGAACTGGTGGCCAGCTGATGGGATCAATGAATAAACTCAAGTCATCATGCAAGTGATGACTGAGGCAAAGGGAGAATCAGTTCTTACTCTGCATTTTGGCTTCTCTAACCATGAAACTAGGCTGACTAATGTCTAACCTTCAGATAAAGGATTGCTGTCTGTGCAAAAAAAATTTAGAAAAACATAAAGAACGCCTATGAAAACACTATCAGAGCTTAATGTCACTTCTGGCATTGTCACGAGCTCATGGCAATGTACGTAAAGCTGCTGCTACTCACCTGTCTCTTAAGAGATCTCCAACTACTGAGAGCTGTAGCTATTGTTATTAGTTATATAATAAATGTACTTCTTAACCTTTGAGATTTCTTTTTTATAACCTCGTACATTCATTTTTGAATAAAAAATTAAAAACCATTCCCAATTATATCTATTTTTAAAGGATAAGAAATTAGTGCATAGTTATTATGAGTATAGTAAGTGCTACATTTAAAAATGCTATCAATTCCAGTGCCACCAAAAAAAAAAAATACTACGAAATCAAGTTCTTAAAGCATATTTTCTTTTTTCAGAGTTAGTGTTGTATAGCAGATATGAAGGGACTGTGTCATGTTTAAAACAGCTCAATATGTTCTATTCTGACACACAGAAGAAAAAGGATTGGTCACTAATAAGAGCTTCTGAAAGATAAAAACATCTTGGTGAGAAGGTACCAAAAATTTCTCATCACTTTATGGTGGCATATTGCTAATACACGATTGACTAAGTTAATTAAGTTTAGATATTAAAGAATTGCAGTCTGTGCTTCCAAAGCAACCTGCTTCTGACAGACTGACGACAAACTAAGGCACTGACGTCAAGAAGCGCTGAATCTGAGAGTCTGTTTACATTGAAGACGTGCACTTGCATTTACAGGCACTTCTCAGCTTGTGTTCTGCTGCTACCTTGAAGGCTCGCCTCTGCAGAACACATCCAAGCAAGACAGCTGCCAAGTGAGCATGGTCGATGTGAACACTAGGTTCCTTATTCTTAAGCTTCTGGGGTGGACAGGGAAGGAGGGTGGGAAGACTGTCTGAAGGTGTATATGGGGAAAGGCTGGATGGCTGGTCCCTATGAAGTGACATGGTTGACTCTAAATGATAGAAAATACTGAGGTTGTTCAGGCAAGAGTACACCTCTGAAGTCACATTAGTTTGTCCTCAGGTATTTCTTCTCTAATGTGGATGTGTGGGGAAGTTTGGAAAGTTTCCTATATATTAATGACATTTAAAAATGGTCCCCAGCCAGATGTGGTGGTGATGCTTGTATCCTAGCATGCAGGAGGTGGAGGCAAGAGGGATAGAGTTTGAGGCCAACCTGGACAACTTAGAGAATTCAAGGCCAACCTGAGCTACACAGTGAGACTATATCTAAAAAAAAGAGAAATGAATTACAAAAAAGTTTTCCCATTCAAATTCCTATTGGGTTCAGTTCTAAACACGTATGAGACAGTTTATGCTGCTTCTAACCCATTAAGAATCCTTTTACATCTTTTAGTCATGGGGTAGAGAAATTCTAACAGTTTATTACCCATAAAGTAAAATATTCTTGCCTTTATTTTGCCTAATAAATACCTCTTGCCAGGCATGGTAGTGTATATCTCTAATCCCAGCACTAAGAAGGTTGAGGTAGGAGAATCCTGAATTCAAAGTTGGCTTGGGCTAGAGTAAGTTTTAGGCTAGCCTGGGTTACGTAGTGAGACCTTGGCTCAAAACAAACAAACAAAAAAACCCAAAACACAATAAAAAGCAAAACAAAACAAAAACTTCTTCCCTGCTTCCTGGAGTAAAAGACCTCTACAAATCACACAGGATTTTACATTCCTTAAGATCTGTGTCACACATTTTGAATCATTACATGAAATACTACCCTCTTCAAGGACAGGGACTCTCTCCTACATCTATGTTTTAGGTACTTGTCTTTCCCTCAAACAATCAGTGAAACTACATGAATCCTTGCTGAACTGAACTGATTTCTGGAATCTGGCTCAGTCTCTCTATAGCATTGACTCTACATACTCTTTCTGATTTTATTGCTTCTCTTAAAAAATATCCTAATACATGAAATGTTTGTGGGGGAAATACTGTCAGCGTCCAGACCCACCTTTCTCTGGGGAGGTTTCATTAAAACCTTCTCGTGAGTTTTGATTAGAGTTCTAAATGATATTGCAACTTTGAAATAATTTAAGTTCCGAAGTAAGAGGCTCTGTTATGTTTCAAAAACAACCTCAGACAAAAAAAAAAATTGACCTTTTTGGCCACACAGTAAATTGTTGTGTAAAATATTTTAATTTTATCAAAAAAATTCATCACAGACACATTAAACATAATATATTAAAAAGTTGCATTATGAGCATTCTAATAATTCTTTTTTGTTTATCGAAATTTATTTAAACTGTTGGTTTAGTCTTCTGTCCCAGAGCATCCATCCAGTTGCCTTTCAAAGGTTAAGCTGCCAAGTTTGCTGCTGCCATAGAAACCCTTACATTTATCAGGGTACCAGTGCTGTCTACTTGCATTTCTCCAACAATCTTTGGTATCTAAGCAGTACTCCTGCCCTGTCTCTACATCCCAAGTAGATGGGGACTAACTGCAGGTGCTTTCTACCACAGCAAGTTCCATCTTGAATCTGTAACTCTTTGCTTAAATCTTGTACTGTGCCCCATCAAGCTGCCTCTTCATACCTTTTTAAAAAAGGTATCCTTGATCTGGACCCAAACAGCTGTCCAGACTAAATGTGCACCCAGTAGTTGAAAAATACAATTCATCTGTTTTCTCCATTTCAATTTCTGGTCATTCAGTGCCCATGTGCCCACAAGGTTGGCTTGCTCTTTAGTACCTCACTCAGTTCTCACCTCCCTTTGGCACTTAGCTGTCCATAAAATGCCATCATCAAAATCCACATTGCATCCATTCCTCAGCTCCAATCTTAATACAATGAAACTCCAAACCCTGAAAGCCATTTAATCATTTTTCTTTTTGTTTTAAACAAAATGACTGTTTTTCTATCTGTATAAAATGTAAAAAAATTACTGGAATTAATACCTGTATAGCTTAAAAATGGACCAAATAACAAAAATCACCTCGAACTGTGCTTCGGGTTGTATGGCAGATGGACAAGCCCTCAAACAATTTAAGGACCTGAAAGTGTCCATTTTGTAACAGTTGATAATCCTGAAGAGCATTTCATTTTTTGGAGTACTTAAAACCTTCATTCTCTGCCCACTGCTATATTTCACTGCCAATTTGAAGAAAATGGATGATTTTAATCTTGGATTTCACAATCAGCTTTTACAGCCAGGTCATAGTTGGTGCTTAAAACAGCTCTAATGCAGATTGTTGTGTAATTATGGTAAATGCCAAAATAATATAATTAATCTTAACCATCTCACCAAATTAAAGTGTCTTAGGAAAAAAACCAAAACAAGGCAGCATGTATAAGCACATTTAAGATTTTATAATGAAGTATTTTTTAAAAAAAACTCAAAAGCAGCAAATATCAAACCAGTGAAAGAAACTGAACCACAGCTTTGGACACAACTGAGAACACATCCTAGTTATACTTCTATGGGGGGTGGGGGCGTATTTTAATGCTAATCATTGCAGCTGTTTTAAATATAGGTTCATTGGTCTCAGGAACCCTGACTTCATTCCTCACATCACCCAGCACATGGCTAGCTGTGAGTGCTTAGGACTGATTGGTGTCATGTGGCTTGAACAAAATAACCTCCAATAATGACACCTGATAGGGACAGGAAGAGAGTGATCTCATCTACTAGGTCAATCCTTCCTGACTAGGGAGTTTTATTTCCAAAATATTTACCTTAAGGGGATAGAGGAAGTATGGGTGAAGTGTGGGTGGGAATCTGAAGTTAATTCACATGCTTAGGTCAGCCAAGTGTGGTCATTATCATTTAGATAAAATATGACAATAGATGTATATAAAGAGACAAATAATTCTATCTTTAAAGTGATGCTTATTGGAACAGACTTATTTTCCCCAAATCTGTAGTGATTTCTCTTATCCTTAGTCAGAAATACATACGCCAGCCTATGAACTATATTGTAAGCCAGGCGCAGAGGTGCATGTCTGTAATCTCAGCTACTGCGGAGATTGAGGCAGGAGACTTACAAGTTCAAGTTCAGCCTGAGCAACAGAATGAGATGCATCTCAAAAAAAAAAACAAAAGAATTGTAAATTTTATAAGTTCTTTGTTGTTCTTGAGTTGACAAATACTAACCTTAAGGTTGGACAAGCAGTTGTTGAGGAAAACATGCCACCTGTTCAGGAACAGTTGCTTCTGACTGACACACAGCAGACAGGTCACCAGGGGGTACAAGGCCTGAGAAGAAGGGAGCAGAGGTTACAGGATGATTGACATTTCAACAAACCGGGAAGCACACATTCTCTGCACTCACTGACCAAGATGAACAGGACACTGTGGAAGACGGTAAGACGCCATGGGCACCCAACAGAGGAGAGCATTCTGCAAATGCTTTCTGATGGAGAAATGCTGGGGATGGACTCATCTAGAACTATGGATGTTTATGTACAGTAACATGGAAAGTTGATTCACTAACATAGTCTTCGCTTATGCACTTTAGAAACAAAATCACCCTCTTAGATCGCTCGTAGTCTCGATGGTGACGAGGGAACCAGGAAGTCACATTAATTTTGCAAATGTACTGGCTTTTTCGTTCATAAACATCTACTAGTTTGTCCCTGTCTTAGAGGTAGTTGTATATGTTTTATTTGGTGTGCAACCTTCCTGTAATTAAGGAAGATTCCTAAAACAAATGTTATTGCGCTAGTAAACTCTACCAAGACAAATTTAACCGCAGGAGGAATTTGCTTATGAAGGAATAAACAGAGGTGCTACTGTGCTTTTCTTGCCTCACTGGGCCAGTTTCCCACAGCAGCTGGAGAAGGCAGAAAAGCAATGGGTAGACACTCAAAGAACATGCAGAACTTATCACCATTTTGCTAAATCAGGTAGTATCACCTTTATTTTTCCCTAAGAATCCAGACTAGAGAAGATTTAAACAAAAGTGTAAGTGGCTCATCTATTAACTTGAACTAGCAAGGAACAATTGCTGATGGTGATATTCAGTGCTCAATAATTCATTAGTGTTTTTCTTCTTTGCATTAACTTAGTTTTAGAGAACTTTGAACTACTATTCCTACTGAATGCAACTTTAATGCCAGGAAATAATATAAAAAAAATTACATACAATTTGTCACAATGACCATAGCATATAGACAAAGGAGCAAATTTGACACCACTACCAGCAAAACAACACTGAGGACCTGCTCAAATCGTGAAGGCCACATTCATACTTCGTTTTTTTTTTCTTTTATTCATATGTGCATACATTGTTTGGGTCATTTCTCCCCCATTCCCCCCACATTCATACTTTGGAGACTAGCCTAAACCAGGCCAGTAACCAGTTCTCTAACTACCTACTTCCTCCAGACTAGCACAGTTACAGCTGGCACACCAACATGCCAGGTTTATAAACTAGTTTATTTGCTAGAACATATAACTCCGTGCTGCATTTCTGTATCAATGTCTTCCCAAGAATTGTTCCCCAGCCTTCAGAGAACATTGTCTATGGGCAACTACTGTTTCCCATCTTTCTTTCCTGCTGGTTCAATTTTGATTCTGAGTATCTAGCTAGGAATTCACCAGTGTATCCTGGGATTGAGAAGAAAAACTGTTATTATAAACTTTAGCCTTCAGATTGGAAAAACTTCTCAGAAATTCAAACAAAAATCGAGTTAAGCTAATCTCAAAAATAAACAGCAGAATGCGTAGGACCAGAAGGGTCATCTGAGTTGACAGGATCTCATCCCCTTATGTTACTGTGTTTCATGTTTAAGATTAAATCCAAGTTCTGAAGTCTGAAGGAGCTGCAGGTACTTCTCCCATGTGTGGAATCCTTATGACTCAAAGAGAATTCTGCCTAGCAATTTCAGTCTCTGAAAGTTTTGTTTGTGCTTTGGATTTTCTCAGAGTGACTAACCAAGGAATGCTTCTTTCGAGAAGAAAGTTCCAGCGTAGTATCATAGAGGCTTTCCACAAAATTTCTAAGGCAGGGAACGTTGACTTCATTTTTGACAGCCTGAAATAGAGATGCATGTGAATATTCTACTAATGACCTTGTTGAGCATATGATCCAATCCAAAGAAGTTCTTAGAAATGAAAATATAACTCACAGCAGCAACCGGGACAAGGATTTCCACAAAAAGCCCAGCCAAGGCATGTTTGATATCTTTGTCTTTGACCTCGAGGAAATAATGTGCACATTCCTAGGAAATAGAAAAAGAGTGCAGGGAGGGTTTGTTGAAATATGAATGTAAAATGTATTTAAAAACTTAAGTAAACAGTTCTTAATTCAACCATGTCTACCAATATAGAATATTCTGTCATCTATTGCAAATTACAGGTTTCAAAATATGTTAAAGTCTGAATGTTTTCAAGGTCCTCAATGACATTTAGCTCAGACAAGGAAACCTCTGGAACAGTTCCTCAGGGAGATGTCTTTGTCTATAAAGCTACTGTCCATGGAAGTGTATTTCTGGTTGCCCAGGGACTCATACTGTAGGAAAGTTGGCTTACCCTGATTTCTGCCAGCCCCTCTTCCAGGCCTTATGGTAGTAACTTACTGTGGGTCCCTATAAGGTACTGATACCACATGTATGCTAATGACTATATTAGGTTTTACCCTTTACTGCAGTCATTATTGGGGAGATTGGCAAAAAGAGTTCCTAGGGTCCTCATTCAGTGAGTATCATGGGAAGACCTCAGCCCAGGTTGGGTGATAACCAGCCTAGGAAGTCACTGACACAGTTTCCCCCACCAAATGAGCTTTCTAAGGTTCCCAAGGTCACAGCCCCCTTTCTACATTATTTTGTGTATGTAGGTAAATACTCTCTGAAGTTGGCATTCAAGCACATACATACGTGAATTATTAACGAGAGTGGAATAAAAATTAAGAGAATAGTTAATAGTCAATGACTGCTTACCAAGTGCTAAGAATAACTCAGAACCACTCTCTAAGGTTAGTGTCATCATGACACCTCTCAGGTAAGATAAATGAGGGTAGCTGGAGGTATGTCTTAGGTGGCAGAGCACCTGCCTAGCAAGTGCAAGGCCCTGAATTTAAACTCCAGAACCAAAGAAAAAAAAAAAAACCAAAACCAAACCAAAACAAAACAAAAGGAGGGGGTTATGAGAGATTGGCCAAAGTCACAGAGCTGGTCAGTACTGGTGCTTGAATTGAAACCCAAGACATTTGATAATGGAGGAGGCCACCTTTCCTTCCTTACTCTTTACATTAGTTTTATTGATAAATTGTTCATATCCCCATTGTAATTCACCCACTTAAATTGTTTAATTCACTAGCATTTTTTTCTGGCAGTACTAGGGTTTGAACTCAGAATCTCATGCTTGCTAGGCAGGTGCTCTACCACTTGAGCAAAGTCCTGTAGCTCTGTTTGCTGTAGTTATTTTTCAGATAGCCACTGGGCGTTTTGCTCAGGCCAGCCTCAGACCAAGATCCTCCTAACTATGCCTCCCACATAGCTGGAATTCATAAACATATGCCACCATGCCTGGAGTATTTGTTAAAATGGGGTCTCATTAATTTTTTGTCTGGGTTGGCCTTGAGCCATAGTCCTCCCTTTCTCTGCCTCTCAAGTAGCCAGGATTATAGGTCATTTGCTTTTTGTATATTCATAGTTGTGCATCCAACACTACAATCACATTTAGAACCTTTTAGTGACCCAGAGGAAACTCTGCACCCCTTGGCAGTTACCCTCAACCTCTTTATTCACCCTTTATCTTCAGCTCTAGGCAACCATTAACCTACTTTCTGTCTCTATAGATTTTACAATTCTGGACATTTCATGTAAATGGATTCATATATATGGCCTTTGTGTCTGGCTTCTTTTACTTAACATGATGTAGCATGTATCAGTACTTCATTACTTTTCAAGGTCGAACTTCAAACTTTTCTTGTAAATATGTTATGTTTATTCATCCATTCATCACCTTGGAGACATTTGGGTTGTTTCCATTTTGGGGCTATAAATAACATTGCTATGAACATTTGTTTTCAAGTTTTTGTGTGGGTATGTATTTTCATTTCTCTTGGGTATATATCTAGGAGTGGAACTGTTAGATCATCTGGTAATTCTAAGTTTAGCCATTTGAGAAACTGCCAGATTTTTTTTCCAAAGTGGCTGCACTGTTTTCTATTTATGTCAGTAGAGAACGAGGAATCTAATCTCTCTACACCCTCATCAATAATGATGTCTGTCTGAGTGTAGCCTTTTAGATTATGAAGTGATACAGTCTATATTCATAACCTTTTATCTGAATTCGCTAGTAAGATCACCAAATTAATTCATAGCAGCACAGAAAAAAAATCACTTGATACACCAAAGTTCTGAAAACTCTTAGTAGAGCTAGTTCTCTGCTAAGTTCTCATTTGCAACTCTCCTTTTGTTATACACCATGATGAACAATGAGCAGTAGATGTCAATCTGTACGACTTGGTTGATTTTTAGAAAAATTATAATTCCTGTTTATAGTATGAATAAAACAGACTTCTTTCTTCAGTAAAGTTCTCATGCCTTGGAATGCTGATGCAACTGACTTAATGCTATCAGTCTAAAAAGTAAAAACATCAGCTGTATTTTATTCACAGAGCAGTATGCATCCATGGGTGAAGGAACGGGGAAAAAGTCCACAAATAAGAATTCTATTGTATACCTGTTCCAAAGATGATGCCAAAGTTTAACAATGAAGCTATGTTTCTACAACTCTCCTACTGGTTTCAAGGCACATCATGAATTAGTGAAGAGAAGGAAGGATTTTTTCCCTCATTGTCAAGTGCAGGTGCTACTTGATTTATGATGGTATTATATCTGGATAAGCCCATCTTAAGTTGAAATCACTGTAAGAGGAAACTGCATTTAACACCCCTAACCTACCGACCCAGCTTAGCATCCTACGTCACTGTGGTTGCTGACTGTTACCCCTCATGATTATGAGACTGGGAGCTACAGTCACTGCCACTGCCTAGCATGTTGAGTAGAGCAGGCTGCATGGTGCTAGACCAGGAAAAGATCCAGATTCAAAATGTGAAATCTGGTTTCTACTGAATGTGTATTGCTTTCACACCATTGTAAAGTTGAAATATTGTAAGTCAAACCTTCCTAAGTTGAGCACTGTCAGTAATGGGTTTTCACATTCTAGGGGTGTCATATGGTAAGGGACCCAGCAAGTCCAGGAATTTACCTGCATAAACTGAAGAGACGCCTCAAAGTCCTCCACTGGATACATCTTAATTCGAAAGAATTTCATTCCCATTATCAAGCTGATAATGCTTTGCACCACATATGGGTTCTGCTCTTTGTGTCGTAATTCTTTTAACTCTGCCATAAATTTCTTCTTGACAGCGGGGAACCTAAGAAGCAAGTAACACGTAGAAAAGTCAATATAATGGGAGCCTCCGGCATCCAGAGTGGGGGTTCTTCATTCAGTTCAAGTACAAGGATGGTTGTTTCCTGAGGATTCACTGTTTGGGATCTGGAAAAGTCCAATTGTCTCCTTTCCCTCTTATTCAATAAGATGCTCCACATCTCTTTCAAACTACTGAGCAGCTCCATTGCTGCTTAGACCATGTCAAGATGGCTTAGCTCTTAAATTGAGAGATGAAAAAACAAAACAAAACAAAACCCTCCATTTACTCAGCCTAGCTATTTTCAAAATACTTGCAGACCCTGAGAGCCTAAGTCTTCACTTGTGAGTATTTGAGCAGTAGCATATAATAATCAGCTATTTCTAACAGAGATAGCAAATTTCTTGACTTGTATTCCCGATAATGTCAAAAAGATTCCAACATCCGTTTGCAAAGTTTTCTGTTGTTCTTTTCTAATTTTAGATGGATAATTGTGGAAAAATGTATTTTTAAGTTGAAGGAAAATCTAGCAATGGAAAATTCAAATCATATCTAAAAAATAAAGATGAAGCTGGGTATGGTGGCATACGTGTAATTTCAGCACTCAGGAGGCAAAAGCACGCAGGAGAATTGAGTTGCAGTCAGTCTAAGCTACACAGAGAAACCCTGCCCCAAAAAACCAAGAGCTGGGATGTAGCCCAGTGGTAGAGTGCTTGCCTTGCATTTGCAAGGCCCTGGGTTCAAGCCTCAATAACATATCACACACACACACGCACACGCACACACACACAAAGATGAATGGCTGTCTGCTACCTGCATGGGATTTTATAGTTTGGTGTGGTGAACGGCAAATGCAAAACAGACACAAGAGACACAGTCTCTATTCTTAAGGATATTAAATATTTGTATTGTTTGAAAGCAAAATAATACTATTACAACTATAATGTCATACAGGTTTTAAAAAATGGTAGCTCTTAAGGCTAAGAGGGTGCAAAGTAGTAACAGATCTTCAAAATACATAAAAGTAAAGAAATACACATACAAAATTATCCATAGTTAACTACCTCTGAGGCATGGCTAGTTTGGCTATCAGTTAAAGAAAAGAAACAAGGAAAATATTGTAAGACTCATTGTTTTCTGATTCTTGAAGGGTAATTGTGATTCTAAAAGTTAAAAGTGAAACCTAATAAAACCTCAGAGGTTTAGAATAACTCTTGCCTCAACATATAAACTAGAGGACACATAACGAATGCAGCAAACACAGACACTGTTAAAATAAGGCAACATCAGGGGATAAATTTTAGGTTAGGTGAGAAGATTACATGGTCTTCATTTTATTTATTTATTTTTTCAGGGACTAGTATTTATTTTTTTTATTGTTTTATTATTCATATGTGCATATAATGCTTGGGTCATTTCTCCCCCCTGCCCCCACCTCCCTTACCACCCACTCCGCCCCCTCCCTTCCCCCCCCCTCCCAGCCCCCTCAATACCGGGCAGAAACTATTTTGCCCTTATCTCTAATTTTGTTGCATGGCCTTCATTTTATAACAATTTATTAAACATTGTATGGGTTTCTCTTTATATTTGATCAATGCATTCCATAAGAAAAAAAGGTTTGGTTTTTGTGTGTGTGTGTGTGGTACTGGGGTTTGAAGTTAGGACCTCACACTTGTAGGCAGACACTCTACCACTTGAGTCATTCCACCAGCCCTTTTTGTGTTGGGTATTTTCGAGATAGGGTCTAGCAAACTATTTGCTTAGGCTGAGTAGCTTCCTGAGTAGCTAGGATTACAGGTGAGAGTCGCCAGTGTCTGGCTAAGAAAAAAGACTTTAAGAAGGAAAGAGAACAGAAAATATAAATAGCTTGAAGAAGATTGAAATACTTTATGAATGAGGGCTGTTAATATAGTTAAGGTCATTTTAGCTAATCTTGGTAGCATTTTGTGGATTTTTACAAAACATTCACTTTCAACACAGTATTTCCAACTTAGGAAACTGACATTTCCTAGGTGCTATTGAAATAAGATAGAAAATATTAATTATATTTACTTTATGAGTAAAATATCATAGATAACTTTAAAATTGTATTAATTTTCAGGTGAGAAAATTAAAAAAATATAAGTACATTATTAAAAACACAAAAATCAATTTGGTATCAGATAACATCTGTTTGACTGAAAATTTAAAACTATACTCTTGAACATTTGGAATATGAACTCCAAAATACAAGGTCATCATTCTTTTCTACATCTTAAAGAAAAAAAACTGATGATGGAGATGATGATTACAGACACACAGGAGTTCTTCCATGCCAGCCACATAGTAGTCTATGTGTAATCTTCACAACAATGCCTGTAGAGTACTGCATTCTATCCTTTGGTACAGAAGAGGAAACACAGCAGAGATTTCATAACCCAATAAAGCCACACAGCTGATAGGTAGTGGTGCTGGAATTTGAAGGCCACGACTACCTCCAGAATCCCTGCTCTTAATCTCTCTGCTATGCATTATGTCCAAAGCAGTGATTCTCAAGATATGTTCCCCAAATGGGCAGAATCTGGAGACTTGTAGCAAACGCACATACTCTTGTTCCTGCCTAGACCCCACTTATATAGGTTCAATTATCCAACTCCTGCCCCCCGAAAATCATACAGTGAAATCTTAATTTCCAGTATCTCAGAATGTGACTACATTTAGAGACAGGGTCTTTTAAGAAGTGACTGAGATTAAGTAAGGTCTTAAGGGTGGGCCCTAATTCAAAATGCCTGGATGCTTATAAGATTTGAACACAGCACAAATAGAGATAAAGGCCATATAAACACAGGGAAAAGGTGTCCATCTACAGGCTCAGGGGAGAGAAGCTTAGGAGAAACCACCTCTGATAGCACCTTGATATTGGATTTCTGATCTCCAGAACTGTGAGGAAATAAATGTTTAAGTCACCCAGTCTGTGGTATTTTGTTACAGCATTCCTAGACAATTAATAAATGAGTAACTGCCTAGCCAACTGGAACAGTACAGATTGAAAGTGAGGTGACTTGAGAGGGCAACAAATATCTTCTTCAATCACCCTATGGAAAAAAGAAAACGGAAAACTTTCTGACAGAAAGAGATACCTGAAGATGGAATGAACCCTAATGTATCATAATTGCCTTATTTCTTGCTTATTGTCTGACTTCTCTGGCTAGATACAAGTCCCACAAGATCAGGCACACAGTAGGTGCTCGGTAGCTATGCCAAGTGGGTCAACTTCCTGGGGGTGATGAGTTTCTGGTGGTGGAGGTATGTAAGTAGAAGCTGCACCTGCACTATATAGATATCATTGAGAAGCCTCCTGCAGAGGGCACACAGCTAGTCTACTTCAAGGGCCTTTGTAAAGTTGAAATATTATTAATCTGATTTTATTTCTACTGATAAATCAAATATAGATATTCCTCATAGCAAAGGTCCATATTTAAAGATGCTCTTATATTTCTAGTCCATGACTACAACATGGAGAGGTAGGGGTTTTTTGTGTAACTCAGTATATCAATATTCTCATGACATGGTAGCTAAAAGTTTGTTTCTCATTACAAAATAAGTACCACTATATTTTAATCTTAATTAATCAACTTATTTTGTGGTACTGAGAATCAAACACAGGGCCTTATCCACTGAGTTACATCCCCAGGTTGACTATCTTTTACTTTTAAAATTCTCAAATGACAGAAATGTATTATTTTAGCATAAAAGTAATCTGAAAATATATTTCCACTTAAAATCCATTTTACAATAATGTTAGGGAAAAACAAGTTTTTAAATGATCTTTCCTTATTATTTACTATTTGTTACCCTATTTAGTAAATATAGAGCTAAATGATTACTCAATCTTTGGCATAGTATAATATTCACATAAAATAAACCTCAGCTTTAAAATATATATTACATATGTATACAGTACAAAAATATACAGAATAAGAATATGTCACATAAAGAGAAGGTACTTTTAAAATCTGTGGGGCTAGGGATGTGACTCAACTGGTATAGTGCAGGCCTGAGCAAGGGTAAGGCCCTGAGTTTAAACCCCAGTACTGCCAAAAAAAGAAAAAAAAAACCTATGACTCTTAGAAGCAATCACCGTTTAAATGAATAGGCCAGATTTTAACCAAATTGCTTAGAAAATCTAATTTTAACTTAATAGGCTTTGAAAAAAGTCAATACTGTTTTTGAATATCTCTTATATAGCAAAACATTTCTTAATGACAGTAATTAAGCAACATTATTACCAGTGAGATTAAAATGAGTGATTCTGCTAAAATTCAAAGACCAAACTAAGCCTTAATTACTAAAGTCATAATGAGGAAAACATTTCATATTTCATATCTATTGCCATGGGAACTAGATATGAAATCCAAAATTAGAATGATTATATTATTCAATTTAATAAAAAGAAAAAAGTCAATCACAGTATAGCGGATAAATATACATCCTTTTCCCCCTGAAGAACATGGGAAACAGTACGTCTCTAAAGTACGTCTCTCTAAGTAGGAGAGAAAAGTAATGAGATAATTCATGGTATGACACTAATTTAAGATTCTACCACCTGTCAATAAAGGTTAACTATACACTGCCTGGTTGAGAACATATCACAGTCTGTTTGAGTCTGTGCTTATTCCAAAAGCACCTGGCTGCAGTACTTCTAAAAATCTAGTTTTAACTTCATTGACTTTGAAAAAGTCAGTACTATGTGCTAATATCACTTAATAGCAAACATTTTCCCTTAAAGACAGGAGCGAAGGAGTTTGTCAGTGACTGGAAAGTACTGGAGCATCATCCGAAGTGACACATTTCTTACCCTTAACTATTGCAGTCAGGGCCAATAATGATATCACAAATGTAAAAAAGGCCACTGTTGGCAAAAAGACTGGCTTGGTGGGTCACAGATCTAACCTAACATGGAAATTCCTACAACCTTCAAACATTGCTTAATGAATTGCTTCTCAATTCATTCATAATCTATGTAGCTAAGGAAGGTCATTTGACAGTATTCAATATTGTCATGTATAATTCATAAAAACTAAGAAAAAGACAAAAAGCCATTTTTGGCATATTAAACTTTCCAAATGGTAGCAAAGAAGAATTGGATAATTACAAAGGAATTTATTGAGATTTTCACACTTTGACAAATCAGCAAATATACATATTAATATCTCCTTTTCTAAGTCTTTTTTTTAGAAATGAGGTAGATAGGTATAAATTAATTGTCAGATAAGTGCAGCTTGTTTAGTTGAATGCCAACTAACTTACTACCCTATTGCAATGGAAATCTCTCCAAAATGGATTAGTCCTTTTTTCCTTAATGACTCAGAACCACAATTATCATAATAGACTAATCAAAGTTACAATACTGTCTCATGCAAAATGGTCAGATTACTTTATCATTTAGTTTTCATGTATGCTTTGGCTGGGTTTTGTTCCCCTCAGTTGTTGTCAGTCTTTGACCCTGATGTTTCTCACTGGTGGCAGTGTATGGTCTAGAAGTTCCTTCTCTACCTTCTAACACTGATGTGTTATGTGTTAGGAAAAAAAAATAGATTGTCAGAATAAGGAGGTAAACTAGATTAGAGCTAAAAAAGAATCATACTAACAGATATATGGGATTTATTTCCTGAGTTCTTATCCATGTTTTAATTGGGTCTGGTCACTGAATAATTAGTTAAAAAATTTTTTTGATAAATTATGTGTTTCCATGCTACTAAGTTAAGAAATTCCATCTCTTGAAGATAAAAATCTCTTTCTGAGGATTGCATTTCACAAGGATCGGGGCATCACTGCAGCTGTAAGCTGATGTCCTGGCTTGAATTCAAATTACGTCTCTAGCTCATCTTGCCTAATCTAGACATTCAGGGTCTTGCCTGATTTCCCTCAGGGTTGGATAAAATGAAGATGGGCAAGAAGGGGTGTGACATCACTTTTGGAAGAAGTATATTATTGCTAATAGTCTACCCTAACTTTGTTCTAGCCTGTTAAGTAGCATTATAGGGCCAGATAAATTTAGTAGTAAGAATTTTTTCCCTGACTTGTTTCCATGACAGTGTCTGGGACAATTTTAGCTCAGTTGAATTAAGTAAGGTCTATAGTAAAAGGGATATTCAAGAATGGAATTTTCCCACTCATAATGATAGATTGTAACCACCCCCTCATGGATTATAGAAAACAAAATTGGGAAAACTGATAAACTTTGGAATATTTGGGTAGAGAGGAAAGTAATTTGGTTAGTCCATTTCTTTCTTTGAAGAAGTAGTATGAAACTCGTGGGTTCAGTAGGATCTTGCTGAATGGCAAAGAGAAAAAGGTAAGTTTGGTATCTGCCTTGAAGGAGCCTCTAGTTAGTTTCAGGAACAGGGCATACATGGCAAAAGAAATCCTAGTTCCATACTGGCTCACACTCCACACTTTCCCTTAGGTTAGAAGCATTCAGTTTTCATGGTCAAGGGCTATGAAGTTCACTTACTTAGCTTGTGCCAACACTCCAATGACTTCTGCATACAGGTCAGCCACAATGTGCATATTGCCAGTGTTAGGACCAAGATACCTAAGTAAGGCATAATTAGACAAGTTAGGGATCCTAGTTCACCCGAGAAGAGCAAACCACTGATTTAGTTTTAAACACCCAAGTTCTCCAACATTATAAGGTGAGAAATCATCTTACCCTTCTTTGTATTTAAAGTGCTTGAAAGCCAAGTTAATAACATCATGTATTAAACTGTCTATTACAGGATGAAGAGGAATCTGAAAGAAAAAGATAACTTTGAATTTGGAAGGCAATATTAAAGTGTATATCAGTACTTCCAATAACTATATGTGACCTATAGCGACCTATAACCCATCAATAAATATAATTCATATCATCCAGGATTTGCAATTTGTAAATAATTTAATAAACTTAAGACTTAAGCAGTTTTTAGATTAAGAGATGTTAACTAAAAGTAACAATAAACTAATTACCCACCTGTTTCAAAACTTCTATTAATACTAACGAAAAAATAAAATCAATGGCGAGGTCCCGTCTTTCCATTAAATAATCTCGCTGCTGTTCATCACTGTAAAATTTTAAAAATCACATTAAATGATGTTGAAGATATTTTCAGAATGATAGTACTCATCATAAATCTAGGACTCAATTCCAGTGGACTGAAAACCCATTTTGTTACTACGAGATCACAATGGTTAAGTACACATTGATGCTTTTTCTGTCATCACTGTGGTACAGTGGGTAAACAAGGGATTTGAAGTCAAGCATAGTTGACTTCAAATTTAAAATTTCTGGGCTGGAATGTAGCTCGGTGGTATAGCACTTGCCTAGCATGTGTGAGGTCCTGGGTTTGATCCCAGCACCAAAAAAGAAAAGACAAAAAAAAAAAAAAACCTCTCCCCAAATTTAAAATTTCCAACCATGTAAACTTGAGCAGCTACTTGTGAGTCCATAACCTCATCTTGTGGACTTTTCTATGGTACCTTGCAAGTCAGGAATAAATGCACACACGAGCCAGAGCTGCCACATGGGAGGAATGCATTGAAGGGATCTTAGGAAAGGAGCAAATAAGAGGGAACAACTATGGTTACCAATTGGAGCAGGACAACAGGGAATGAAAAAAAGATCAGTATCCTTTTTCCTTGCTCATCCCCTCCCCCACCCTAGTCTCTTCCTTTTGCCCTTTTGCCACTTGAGATTTGGCACAAGGAGGAAAGAAGAGAAGGAATGCTGGAAAAAAGGCTTAAAAGTGAACAAAGGGGGAAGAGAGGATAAGTGGAGTCACTTGCGCTCATTAACAAGTTATGAAGTAGAAACAGAATTGTCAAAGGATAGAAATGTGCCCTTCCAGCCCATCATCTTCTATTTGTTAACCATGACTGAGAACACATCTGAAACTGAATGATGACAGATGATGAATGTTGGGTCCCTTGGCCCAGAATTGTGGATAAGAGCATTGGCCTTTGTATGGAACAACCCTGGCTTAAAACCTTGCCTCTTCTACTTACCAGTGATTTCTTCATCTACAACATGGGAATAATAATCTTACAGGTTGAGTGCCCCTTATCAAAATGCTTGGGACCAGAAGTGCTTTGGATTTCTGATTTCTTCAGATTTTTGAGCATTGGTATACACATAATGAGATATCTTGGAGGTGGGACCCAAGTCTAAACATGAATTTCATTTATACCTCATATACATGTATTCTAAAGGTAATTCCACAGTATTTTCAGTGTGCTTGTGTTTTGACTGTGATCTGTCCCACGAGGCTAGGTCTCTCAAGGAGAGCCATGTGTACCTCTTTCCTTGAGGCAGCATGTTGGTGCTCAAAAAATTTCACATTTTGGAGAATTTCTGATTTTGGATTTTGGGATTAAGAATATACATAATGGTAAAGGTTTGAGGAGATAAAGTGTGTAAGTATTTTGCATAATCTCTGAAACACATCAACACTCAATACTTGTTGAAGAAAGATGACAGAATTTGGATTTGTTGGGCAGATATTTTAAAAATAAGTCAAGATTATCTTAAACATGGAATCCTTTTGTCTTCAATTGAAAGCAAATGAGAGGAAAGGAAGATGGTGTTTAAGATATAAAAAAGAACTTCTGGAGGTGCCTTGGTTGCAAGTCAGATTGAACAAGTCAGACGAGCTAACAAGAAAAGCTCTGGCTTCATGTATCCAGGGGAAATCATTCAGTTAGGATCATTTATGAATAGCCCTGACAGGATGAAGAGGGGCAGACAAAACTATCTATGTGAAGTCCTTCAAGATCCACTAGAATAAAAAGTGCCAGTGAAAGGGACACTTTCTGTATAGAGCTACATTAAAAAGGAGGGTATTTACTAGTTAGGCCTTATATCCATCATATCACAGAATAAGGAAACAGGAAGTTGGAAGCAGAAGAAAAGAGACCTCCCAAAAAGGTACACAGAACATTTTGTGTCTCCCAAAGTGGCCAGAGGACCCTGAGAAAGGAGCAATCCTTGCCAGAAAAGTACTTAAACCTCTGATTCTATTTCATCTCACAAGCTAAGGCATGCTTTCAAATGAAGGATATATACGTTTCCAATGGTGAATTCAACTTTACTGACAAACTGAGTTCTAACTGCTGGGAGCCAGCGGCATTTGACAAATTTATTTGGCAATCAAAATGTTGATATTATACTAATCTTAGAAATCATAACCCAATGTCTACCCTTCCCATCTGACTATTTCCAGTTGTCTAGGTCCCTCCCTAAAATTCCTCTTTTAGCTACATCTCAGCTACATCATGCTCTAAGATCCTCATTCTTTTGGCTTTTCCCCAGGCACACCATTTTTTTTTTTTTAACTTAGTCTGGCCTTAAACTGGCTGTGTAGCCCAAACTGGCCTCCAGATCAACATCTTTCTGCTTCACCCTCAAGGGCTGGGATTACAGGCATTCACCACCAAGCCCAGCTTCCCAGGTACACATTCTTTCTCATTTGAAATGGTCAAAATGTAACTAAAATGCTGCTGGGGAAATTTTACATTCTTGATTCTGTAGGCATTGGATCTCAGTAGTTACTTTGATCACCTGAAAATAATCCGTAATACAACTGAAAAACCTATTTTCAATCCATCAAGAAATCAATTCATGCAAAATCTAGTTTTAATAACTAAATTCTGACAAAACAAGAGGCACAAGACTAAAATTCACTTCTATTCACACAACTGCTATACTACTACTCACCCCAATGGAAGTCTCACACTTGTTCAACCAGCTAACATGTAAGATGGGAAAAATAAAATGACCCTGTACACTTACTGGTCACAGAGTATGGGCCATTTTCAGATACAGAATGGAAATTCTGTCTTTATTTTAATAAATTTAAAAAGGCATTTCTAACCAATGCAAGCCTATTTGGAATTGTCACAGTGAATCAGGACCCCTGTACAATAAATATATACTAAAAAAAATGAAAAATAAAGGTATTTATGAAAAGAGACCACTAATGGGCACAGGGTTTCTTTTTGGAGTGATAAAAATGTTCTAGAACTAGATAGTGATGATGGTTGTACAATGCTGGGAATAGAGGACTGTTAAGAAAAATGAGAGGGATAAGTCACTCAGAAAGAAGTAGTTAATTCTGCTTTTCAGTTTACTGTCTTTCAAAGCACTTTTAAAATGCATACCCAATTCATGTAGAGAAATCTAACCACTTTTAAAAATAACCTCTTAGTTTTTTTTTTTTTAATTAGTATTTCTCGTATCCACTGCATTGCTGTAGTGGATTGATTTCAAACATGATGTTAAACACGTTTACCTAAAATTTGACCACAGGAGGATCTTAAGTTTCATGGCTGCTGAAGTGCTCATGCAGCAGCAAGTTCTACTTTTCAAACCAACAAGGGACAGTGGCCACAGGACAGGTATACATACCATTCTTAGCAGGAAGGAGAAGTCAGAGGTGTGATTCTAACTTCCCCATTCTGCTCACCAAAACATTTAGTGTTTTCACTATAATCCCAGCATTGTACAACAATCACCACTATCTGAGCTCCCAGAGACAGGTGGGAGCTGCCCAGTCACATGGCTACTTTGGTGTGGCAGCCCCAGCACTCCCACCAGCTTGCAGCCCAGCACCCATTTGCTGCAGTTCACGGAACACTCAAGGTTACTTGGGCCAGGACTAAAATGTCTCAGCTTGTCACCTAGGGCCCATGTCAACCTCCTGCTTTTGGGTGTAGATTGGAGGGGAGCTGGCAGAGGAAAGAAGGAGGAAGGTGGTGACATTGGTATCCTCACCAATGTCAAGATAAGGCTGCAGGTGAATTTCCATCCTGTGAGTACTGGCAGTGAGAAGGTGCTCCAAATGTGTTACCTGTCCCAGAACAGGTGGGCCTGCAGTCCCTGCTAGGTATCCTTGTGCAGAGTTAGGAAGGCCTGAGATAATTCTCATTTTGATTTGTTTCTTAAGGGAAAAAAACACAATCCTTACATGAAAGAAATGTACCTTTTTGATTTATTGCTTGTTCTTGGTCTGTATTCATGTGATTCATCTTCAATGCCATTTTGCCTTTTAAACCAGTCAAACAGTGTTCTCAGAATGGAAGGCAGGCAGTACTCAGAAAGGGAGCTCATGGAGCTGATGACCTACAGGGAAAGATGCAGGCGATTAGAAGGCCTGGGTGGCATCCCAATTACTGAGAGACTTTCTAGTTCACAAATAACCTTAAGCAATAGTCGCTACAAAGATTTCTTATTTATTACAGTCCTTTCATAATCATTCTTATGACATTCCCAAGAGAACAAGTCTCTCAGTGCTGACAGACGTTCCTCATATAATAGTGATTTTGTGGTTCAAAGAAGTTAATTACTTTGACTCCCTTTCATTCTAGAAATCAGATGTTAATTGCATCCAAGTTATTTATGCTACCACAAAGAAATTATTTCCCCACAGCATCTACCTTGTGTCTTGTACAAGAAGTTCTTAAAGTACCAAGTACTTTGTATATCATAGGTCATCAAAAATGCTTGTGGTGTAAATAAATATAAATGCAATCATATTAATTGCTATATGAAATAAGCAATGCGTCCCCCAGACAAATAACCTATGTTGTGATAATAATTACTCTTTTCTGTTGGTAAGTATTCATCTGAGGTATGCCCCAAATTAAACTCAAGATAGAAATGAGACAAACCTTTCCTCTTGTTTTCTTCTTCTTCTTTTTTTTTTTTGTGGGATTGGGGTTTGAACTCAGGGTTTTATGCAGGTGCTCTACTGCTTGAGTCACACTTCCAGTCCATTTTGCTCTGGTTGTTTTGGAGATCAGGTCTTGTGGACTACTTGCCTGGGCTGGCCTTGAACTACGATGTTCCTAATCTCAGACTTCTGAGTAGTGAGGATTATAGGCATGAGCCACTGTAGCTGGCTTTTTCCATTCTTCTTGAGACAACAAACACACCTTTGATAGACTGGTTATTCTAATCTCTTTATCTGGAAACACACCTGATCTTTTACTAATTACTATAGACAAAAAAAATGAACCTCAGCCGGTCTGGCCGATGGCTCACGTGGTAGAGTGCCTTCCTAGCAAGCATGAGACCTTGAGTTCAAACGAAGTACTGCCAAAAAAACTTATAAAAAAAAAAAAAAAACCTCAATCCAGATCTCATACCATATGCAAAAATTTACTCAAAATGAGTCTAAAATCTATGTTTAAAACCTAAAACTTCTGAAGAAAACAGGAGAGAAAATCTTTGTGATTTTGGATTACACAAGAATGTCATAGGACACATGTAAGTGAATATAAAAATGATAAAATAAAATAAAATAAAAAATAAAAAGAAATAAATACAAGAAATGATCTCAAAAAGAAAAAAAAATGTTGTAGGTATGACACCAAAGCAAAGTCTGTTACAAAATTTGATAGACTATAAAGGAAATGCAAATTAAAACCACACTAAGATTCCACCTCACCCCTGTTAGAATAGCCATCATCAGCAACACCACCAACAACAGGTGAGGATGCGGGGGAAAAAGGAACCCTCTTACACTGCTGGTGGGAATGTAAACTAGTACAACCACTCTGGAAAAAAATTTGGAGGCTATTTAAAAAACTAAACATTGATCTACCATTTGATCCAGCAATACCACTCTTGGGGATATACCCAAAAGACTGTGACACAGGTTACTCCAGAGGCACCTGCACACCCATGTTTATTGCGGCACTATTCACAATAGCCAAGTTATGGAAACAGCCAAGATGCCCCACCACTGACAAATGGATTAAGAAAATGTGGTATCTATACACAATGGAATTTTATGCAGCCATGAAGAAGAACGAAATGTTATCATTCGCTGGTAAATGGATGGAACTGGAGAACATCATTCTGAGTGAGGTTAGCCTGGCCCAAAAGACCAAAAATCGTATGTTCTCCCTCATATGTGGACATTAGATCAAGGGCAAACACAAAGGGATTGGACTTTGAGCACATGATAAAAGCGAGAGCACACAAGGGAGGGGTGAGGATAGGTAAGACATTTAAAAAAATTTGCTAGCATTTGTTGCCCTTAATGCAGAGAAACTAAAGCAGATACCTTAAAAGCAACTGAGGCCAACAGGAAAAGGGGACCAGGAACTAGAGAAAAGGTTAGATCAAAAAGAATTAACCTAGAAGGTAACACACACGCACAGGAAATCAATGTGAGTCAACTTCCTGTATAGCTATCCTTATCTCAACCAGCAAAAACCCTTGTTCCTTCCTATTATTGCTTATACTCTCTCTAAAACAAAATTAGAAATAAGGGCAAAATAGTTTCTGCTGGGTATTGAGGGGGTGGGGGGGAGAAAGAGGGGGCGAAGTGGGTGGTAAGGGAGGGGGTGGGGGCAGGGGGGAGAAATGACCCAAGCCTTGTATGCACATATGAATAATAAAACAATAAAAATAAATAAATAAATAAACAAACAAATAAATAAATAAAATAAAGATAGGGTCTCACACACAAAAAAAATGTGATAGACTAAAATTTGCCAAAACTAAAAGCTTCTGCATTTAGAAGACACTGTCAATAAAGTGACAAAACATAAGTTGCAGAAAAGAAGGAAATATATGTATTCTTTGTCCTGTACTAGGATTTAAACTCAAGGCCTCACACTTCCTAGGCAGATGCTCTACCACTTGAGCCACACACCTAACCCTGGAAGGAAATATTTACAGAACGCTTATCAGATTAAGGCCTTGTGTCTAGACCGTGTACAACCACAATGAGATAGGCTTTAAGTACTTAATAACAAACAGTATAAGCAAATTATAATGCCCAGTACTGATAAGCAGTAGTAAAATGGACATGTTCATACACTGCTGATAGAAAAAAACCTGGCATACATACTGGGAAGGTAATTTGGAACTACAATGAAGAACCCAGTAAAAAGCACTCTAGCAGGTCACTTAGAATGTATCTAGAGTGCTTAACTAAATATGAGCAAGAATGTTCCGCATAGTAGTCCTTATAGACAAAAAAAATACAAGCAACCTAAATAGTATAGGCTGTTTATGAAACCATTAAAAACCACATTTCAAAAATGTTCATGATACATTAAGTTCAATAAAAAGAATGAAAAATCATTTACGTGGTCTGATTGCTATTTGGTAAAGACACTATATAAGTAAGTGCACATAGAAAATAAGACCAGGAGGAAACTGACCAACATAAGGTGAGGTTGAAACCAGGGTTCTCAAGAGAGACAGACCACTAGAGAGAGGGAAGGTAGGAGCTTAAGAGGAACAAAGATAGGGTTTTATCTGAGACTTTTAAGAAAGAGTAGAAACTTAAGATGAATCAAGAAATAAAATATGCTAAGACCCAAGGAAAGCCTATGATGATAATGAAGGCAAAAAAATAATGCTTTGCTGACAATGATAATAAAGATTAATGTGATGAAAGTGTGGGGGGGTTGATATGTTGAAAGTGTTTTCTCTAGAAAATGGGAAGCTCCTTCAGATTTTTGAATAGGGAAATAAGCTCATAAAAAAGGAGTTTGGGGGATTTAAGTTAGCATTGATGTATAGGAGAAGACACACACACACACACACACACATACACACACACAACCTGAATGAGGTCACTGCAAGGTTCCTGTCATGCAGTGATAAGGAGGTGGCAGAAGAAATGGAAACCTGTAGGTATAGGTATCCTATGTCTGTAGTTAAGCAGGCTAGACTTATTTTTTCCATTTTTTAAAATTGTTGTGCTGGGTGGGGGTACATTGTGGCATTTACACAAATTCTTATACTATATCAAATATATTGTACTTGAATGTACCCTCTCCACTATTCTCCTTCATACCCGTTTCCCTCCATTCCTAGAATAGTTTCAACAGATATCGTTTTCCATTATATACATGTGTACACAGTATTTGCACCATATTCACCCTCTTTTACCATTTCCCCATCTCTTCTCCCCTCCCATGGGTACCAAACCCCCAGGCAAGATCTGTTGTGCCCTCCTGTTTTCTGATTATGTATAAGAAAACAAGAAGAAGAAGAAAAGACATTTTTGGTTGTTTAAGATAGCTACACAGAGAGTTTCCTTGTGGCACTTTCATATTTATATGTATTTAGCTCAATTTGGCTCATCTCCTCTATTTTCCTTCTGCCTTAGTCCCTTTCTTATGATGGGTTCAACCAGTTTAAAAATTTTACATTCTTTCTTGTATAGGGAATACATCAACCATATTTACCTTCTTAATTTCCCAAAGAAGTCCTTTAGATTGAACAAAACAATTATGGCTTTCTTCCTCAGGTTCTATATCTATTTTATTTCTTTTTGGTGACAGGTTCTATATCTATTTTATTTCTTTTTGGTGACATTGGAGTTTGAAATTAGGGCCTTATGCTTGCTAGGCAGGTGTTCTACCATTTGGTCCCAGGTTCTATATCTTGATAGACTATTTTATCCTTCTTTTCCCGTAACAATGGTTATATATACATCCATAGGTTAACAGAGTTTAAAAATAAATAGGCTACTACATTCAGCATGCCCTGTGAATTTAGTCACTATTAGCTTTTTCTAAACAACCCAAATCATTCAAAACAGAGTGCCCTTTTTCTCATCCTGGTTATATTCATAACCAGAATACATTTTCCTGTTGTGGTTGTGGATATACCAACAGTAACTTGTTAGAAGAAAGCAAGTCATGGTGTGTCAAGGGAGTAATTTAACTATTTCTTTCTAAAGTTATTCCAGCACAAGAAAGAATATTTCTCTAAGTCATCATTGACTAGAATGTTTTGAATTGGGAGTGGGAGTGTAGCTGAGTGGCAGAGTCGTCACCTAGCATATGTGAAGTCCTGGGTTTGATTTCCAGCATTGAAAAAATAAGTAAGAAATTTTAAAAAATGTAAAAGCTTTGAATTGGGGCATGAAGATTTTTCTTCCACAGAGAAAAAAGGGATCAGAATTCAGAGTCCTCAACTATGGGTCAATGGTCTTAATTGTCAAATAGATAATAAAATCCCAAAGCACCTATTATATTTTACAGTATTTGGTTAAATCTGGAGGGGGTCTAAGGAAACAGAAAAACAAAATATAATGTGGTATTTTTTTCTAGATGGTAACAGAAAAAAAGATATTAGAGAGAAACCAATTA